GTTTTCTTGTCTGCTGCTAAATGAGGTAGTCATGCACCTTATTTTCAGAGGATATACTTATACTTTGTCAATAACCAAGAATGTATCAGTATATCCATGAGAATTTTAGTGAATACAAAAAAAAAAAAAAAGTGCACCCAAAATTCTACGCTTAAGCTTAGAGCATGTTCCCTAATGTGTCTTCTAATGTTGTGTGAGTAATCACCAACATACAGAAAACTCCTGGGCAGTCTATCTGACTGGCTGTCCAGCCCAAATTTGATTTAAAGATGATGAGCCATAAGAAAGCAATACAGGGAACTGGCAACAGTCTGAGAAGATTCCTCAATCTCTTGGCCATAGCCTTCCCACTAGAGTGCAATGTGCTGTTTTTAAATTATAGTAATAATTTTTATATATGCCCATATTATTTCTAAAGTTCCTTATTTCCTCTGTGTATCTATCTAAATTAACATGAGTAAATGGCTTTGAAAATCAGTGCCCCCTTTCTGGGGCACCGCCACTCTAAGCTACTTTGTTCTGTCAAGGTCTCCCAAGAACAGGTCAGGTGTGACCATCCATGGGAGTTCCTGCTTGTGGCCAGCCCAAGACATTTTGCTGACTGAAGCAGGTGGCATCCTCCATGCCAGCTCTATCCAACATATTAAAATTCTTGGTGCATCATTTAGACAACCATTCCTACATGCATATCTCCTCCCTAATGGTGCCACCCAAAAACAAGTTGTTTCATCCTGATGTATTGTAAATCTGACTCTGCTCCTTATCATGGAACAGTGCTAAAAGCATGAAAATTTTGCCTGAAAGGGTGTCAGGAGTGGAAGCCAGCTGAGATGGGTTGATGAGCACATGGACCAGATTCAGGATAACTAGTTCTAGACAGCCTGGAGGTCATATACTGGGCTGGACTGAAAGGGAGAAATTATATTGCTAGTGGAACAAGCTATTCAAACTGCTGGACCAAACTAGCAGGAAGAATTTTGGTTCTGCAGAACTCAGGTTAGCAATGCTGCCTAGAACAGACTTCACCACCTGGACATCCACCAAATATTTCAAATGAATTCCCATCAGCTCCAGCAAGCACTGCTTGTGTTTAGGAATCCTAGGAGCTGCAGCACCAAATCTCTGGGAAACATCAAGCTGGGAAGGCTGTCTTTGAGAGCACCTCTGGCCTATACAGCGTGGTCTGGATGGTTGATCAAAGGCCCAAATCACTGATGGTGCAGTGTTAGGTAGCACCTAGCTTCTTTGCACCACAGAGCAAGGGTGGGCGTCCTGTGACCCTCAGCCTAATTTCATGCAGCTCTTCAGCTAATTTCCAAACAGTTAGTAAACAGTTAGTCCATCCTGCTGTCCTACCTGGCAGGAGGACAGTGCAGGGGACACAGAAAAAGAAAAGGGGTAGTATTGCCCACTTTTGACTCTCTGATTCACCCATTGTTGACATTATCCCTGTGGGATGGTGGCCCTCAAGACTCCCTCTCTCTCTCATAGGACAGTCAGAGGCCTGGCCTGTTCTGGATGCCTTCCAGAAGTGATGGAAGCTATTTGAATTTAAGCTGTCATTTAGTGGTTGGGGATAAGTGTGGGTTATTTTAGTTGTATATGTATTTTAGCAATATCCATGCAGCATGTATACTGTTTTAAAGTCACTGTTGACCTGGATGGGTAGGGCAGCCCAGAAACTGAGCCAAAGACATTATTGCCTCTCCCCGGTGTCCATCACCCTACTGCAATACACATTTCTAAGGGTCCTGTTAAATGGTCAGGACTGAAAAGGCAGGTTATGTCAGCTTGACATCTGGTTCAGCAGGCAGGAAGGTAGCCATGGAATGTTGCTGCATTCTTGATGGGATTCTGCCTGTCCCAGAGACAGCTGTGTCAAACACAAGTGCTTACTCCTCTTTAGCTTTGACTTGATTGGGAGCTCATGCCTCAGCAGCTTGCAGCAAGCTGAGTGCAAGGTTATTCAATTAATCAAACTCATTAAACAACAGTTTGCACACTAGTTTTTAAAAGTGCCCCAAATTAAATTAGGCTATGGAGATACTGAGAGGTTAAAAACAGCGAGATGGCTGTCTCTGAGCCATTTAGAGGCCCACTACAACATAATGGAGGTTCTCTCTGTTTGTTTTCCAGCTATAGGAAAAGGATGAAAGGGGCATCCTTTTCATGCTGAAAAATAAATTAAAAAGAAATTCTGAGAATGTAGATGTGCATAATAATACAAAGGGTTTCACTACAAATTCTGATATTAGGCATATGTAGCCTGAAGTGCCTGATCCTGCCTAATCTTGGAAACTAAGCAGGATCAGGCCTGGGCAGAAGTGGGATGGGTATGTATGATTCTATGATTATTGCTGTCAACTGCCTAGAGAGCTTTGGCTATGGGCAGTATAAAAATGTAATAATAATAATAATATGCAAATATGAAGAAAGCAATTTCCTTTTAATAAGCAGCCCTTCTAGTAAGAGTATTCTAAGGGAAAAGTATGTTTTTTAATGCATTTGTGGAAGCTATTTCTGGAGTGTTGCTGGATCAGGAATGATTTTCAAGCTATATGACATCCAAAGTGATCCCTGAATTTCCATGTATCCTAAATGTGGGGCACCACTTACCAAAAAAGGTAGACAACAAAGTATATGATGTTCTGTGACTATGATCATAGTATTTATATGAACAACCAGCATGGACCATTTCAAAGATGCTGGCACTAACAGGATCATATGGAGTTTGATGCACACTACAGAAATCTACAATAGTTTAAAAGAAAAATTTATTTTTATTTTATTTATAACATTTCTATGCTAATGCATTTCCTAATAAAAATGCATTTCCTAATAACAATCAACCTACTGTTTGTCAGAAACTTTGTGAATGATTTTGTTTATTGTCATTTCTTAAATATCTGTACTTGTTTGGAAGTAAGAAGTGCTCCAGACTGAGAGATTCAATACTCTTTTAACCTCACAGAGAACTTCTAATACAGATAAACTAAGGAAAAGATGATTTTATTATTATTTGGTAAGGAAGAGGCAGTGACATTATGACTTTAATGATTAAGGGTGCAATCCTATGCCTTCCAATATTTTCTGGGGGGTGGGGGCATAGGATTGCTTGGGTCCCAAGCTTCAACCTCAGAAAAACATTTGAAAATTGGCCTTTCAAATGTTTTGAAGGACAGAGGAAATATGGAGACAGTCCTGTCTTCCATCGGATGCCTGTAATCCTCCACATTCAAAGGATTATGACAGTCATGTTGAAGTGCACCCTAAAGTTGGTATGTATTATACTGCTAGAAGGAGATTACAACTGTAGATTCAAGGTCCAAAACTGGTGTGGCATTGACTTGGAAAATTAGTTGAGGAAAATACTGGAAACAGCTGAGTGGTTTCCCATTAAGTGGTCAGTAGTGGCTGCAACTCTGTTCTGTGTTAGCAAATAAAAAAATCAACATTACAAACTGCAGGATTGAGTGAGGGATGGTCAAAACAGTGTGCACATAATACAGTGTGTGACAGTGTCATCATTATTCTGCACAATTGAGAGAGTTTGGAGGTCTTTCTGCACATTCCATTTTGAAACTTTTGCTTTTTTGTACACTAAAAGTACAAATTACCTGGTTCATACTTCATGGCAGCAAATTATGGGTTCATGCAGGGATGTGCACAGCAGCATGTGGCTTCAACATTCTGTAATCATTTTCTGTTGTGTGAGGATGCTACTTGAACCACTCCCACTTTCTGTAAACAATTTCTGGTCAAACTGGTTGGAGGTTGCAATGTGCCAACCTGGACTACTGGACTATTTAAGGGTTAAATTATCCAGTGGCTAACCTTTGGTTTGTTGAGGGGTTAACCACTAAACGACCCTAAGCCTCCAAGCAACCCAGTGATCTGGGTTTGCATGTCATACACACAGTTTCCTATTGTGCTTACAAAAAGTGGATTGGACCCAGGTCATCATTTGTCAGTATAATGTGTGAACTGGCTCATTGTTTCTCCCCTTGTTACATCCTCAATATTGTATTTTTGTTGCCTAACAGTTGTATTTCCCCTCAATGCAGTGGTATTCCCAGCTCATGAAGACCAATGTGAGATAGAAATGTGAGAAGACCAATGTGAGATAGAAACAATGTTCTGTTTGCCTAGAAAGTAAAAAGCAAAAAGTTATACTTGAACTTACTTAAAGAAAATGCCAGATAGTCTCCGGCTATGCATTTGTCCAGCAATAGAATGACACTTGGAATCTTGGGGTCAGAAGGAAGTCTGCAGACTCTTATTTGAGGATTGCCTATGTCCTTACAAAAGCACCCATGTGTTAAGGTCATTATCAGAGATCTTATGTGCTGGCCCAGCATTAAGATCTGTAAGTTTCCTGAGCATCTCTGATATGCCCCCTGCAGTATGGAACTTTTTCTAAAAAGGTGTACCACTAATTCCATCTGTTGTTGCTTTAAGACAGGTTTCTTTTCTCTTGACTGTTTTGATACGTTTTCTTTGGGTTTCAATTTACATATTTTAATTATATTTGTTGCTCTTGTCACTGGTTTATTTTTCAGTTGCTTTTAATGGTTTTATGGATTCAACCACTGATATACAAGTTTGCATCTTACACTGTAAGCTGCCTTAGGATGCCTGAATCTTGAAATACAGCTATGAAATGCATTAAATAATAAGCATACATGTGGCTTAAACTATTTTGAGTTTAAGAAAGGCTAGTTTTGCTTCCTCCCTGAAAAGTGAGCTTGTACTGGATTGTGCAGGCAAAGTCAAGTCCATGAGGGTCCACATCCCAGCAGGTTAATATACTCCTAGTGAATACCCAGGAAATATCTCCCCAAAATGATTGGTGCCAGAACAAATGAATAAACACAGATGCATCACTTCCATGAGTGTCTAAGTTAGCATTCTCCCTTGTTCTATAGCAGGATACAAAAGATGACTCACACAAGGGGCATTTTTCACAATTTTTTAAAAAGATTTTTTTTTACAGTTCTGTACATTATCTGACACAGATTTGTAAATACCAGATTCAGCCGCTCACCAAATCTCCAACACACAGGCATTAATAGATGTCTGTGGATAATTTCCATGAAGTAGACATCTATGGGTAAGTTGCATGAGGTGAGACACATTAAAGTACCTTTCCAAGTATGAATCAGCTAATCAGGAAAGTTCTATGGGAACTGCTGCTTTTCTGCTGTGGTCCAGAACAGGCATAATATAATCAAGTGGCAATGATATCCAAAATAAATTTGGGGTAGTTCTCACCAGGGTGTTCAAAAATTGTGCTTCATAAAATGTCCCCAAAATGAAATTCACAGAGCCACATTTCCCTGGTCAGTTCACGCTTATTTGCAATGGGGTATCAACTGCTATGTGTTAGTCTTTCACAGGAGTGGAACCTATGCAAGTCTTTCCTACAAGGTGATTGTGGAAATTAATTATCTTTCTTTGCATTTCCTGCATCCACACTGGCAAACCTATATAGCTGAATTTTTTAAAAAATATTCTAGCACTACTGAGAAATAAAGTTCAAGTATCCAATCAATGTATAAAAAAGAAAATTAGCCTCTCCTGCAAACGTCATGCATGCCAACTTGCATAGCTCCCAGATGCTCCCATGTTCATCAGAACTATGTGCAATAAGGAAACATTCACACCTGAAATATACATGTGAAAGGTCCCTTATATCAGACATCCTGAAGAACATGGAGAGGAGCTTAAGCAGGTAGAGATCTTGCACTCATCCTGCTTGAACAGTTCTATGGACAGCTGGTTTTCCACCATGGAGTGCTGGACTAGATGGACCCTTGGTCTGAACCCAGCATGACTTTTCTTATGTTCTTATGTTTAGTGGGTATCTGCTATATAATGAGGTAAACTGCCTCTGAAGAGAGAAGTTCCACATTGCAGCTGCCATGATTATGGCTACTGATCAGTTTCTCTTTCAAGATTTTGTTTAACGTATTTTAAAAGCCTCTGTTTTAGTAGTCATGACTGAGCCTCATGAACACTTCTTTCTTAAGTATGCATTGTATGAAATAGTACTTCATTTTATCTGATCTGCTATTAATCAATATAGCTGAGTGAGCATGATTTCTGGTGTAGTGATGGAGGGGAAAAATCTATCCTTTTTGTACTTTGCATATTTTTCTAAACTAGAAAGTCCCAAACATTTTAGCTTTTCCTTAACGCAGAAAATGAACTGAATGTACATTCTTCCAAATGTCATGACCAGAGAAGCTCTTTAGTTTGTGTCCTTTTTCCCATGGACAGCTGGTTGGCCACTGTGTGAATGCAACAGTGGACAAGATGTACCTCTTCCCTAACCCAGCATGGCTCTCCTTCTTATCACAAATTTAGTGAACAGCATCAGTGTTTTGCATTTCTGTGCCTTAACTCCTGTCAGACCATGTTGGACCATCATTCAAGAATTACTGTACATGCAGGTCACCTGTGTTATTAGCAGACCATAACAGAATGACGACAGGTGGCATCATTTTGAGATCACAAGGAGACAAGGAATAAAGTAATTTATAGGTCCTTCAAAGAGTGTTGCTGAGCCTTTTAGAAATTCGTGATTGAAGCAGGCAGGTTCCCCAGTAAGAGTTGATGGTGTAATATCATACATCCTTCTGATTCCCATTTGCGCATTCATGAACTGCTTGTAATCTTCCCCATCGTTGTTCACATACAGGAATGAGATGACTTCTGTTTTTCCTCCCACCACGATGGGCTTTTTGGCAACTGCATCTGTTCCACACAACCGAGTGGAAATCTCACCATTTACCAAATGGTATCTCAGCAGCATCTTGTATTGGGCTGGTCTTCAGGAGTGAGCTTTATAGAATCTGTTAGGTAGTTCTCAATGATCCCATTGTACTAAAAGCAAAATATGAATTAATATGAATGTAGACCTAAATCACAAGCCCCTAAAGTAAGGAGAACACAAGAACTGCTGTGCTGAGGCTAGACCAGAGGTTCACCTAATCCAGCACTCCAGCCATGTCCAGCCAGTTTCCCTGAGAAGCTAAGCAGAGCATGTTAGATAGAAGGTGCTTCCAGATGACGTTTTGGACACAATTTTACAGGGTGTCCAAATGACATCTATTTTCCCACTTCTTCCATATTTTTCTTTGCACATAAAACATTAAAGAGAGAAAGAAGAAATAGCTGGACAAGGCCTATTTATTGACAGGGATTGGGGCCATTCATTGGCAAGCACCCTTAGTCACTCCTAGCTATTTGTCCTCTGCAGCTGCCAATCAGAGACAAGTTCTTCTGAAGCACAGAACCACCTAAATTCAGGCCTCTATACCAATTCAAGGTGCTGTCTCAGATATATAACTTGTCTGGGACCTGATCTTAGGGAAGCCTCAGCTGAAACATCCAAAGAACAACTGCTTGCCTGAAATGCCTGCTCATTGGGGAAGAATCATGACAGATGAGGTCAGTGAAGCTGGGAGGAAGAAACTGCTCATGTGCTATGAACATGTCACATGGCCTCACATTGATCAGAGATTGTGGGAAGGATGGGCCAAGTAGTAGTAGGAGGTAAAACTTTCCTGTAGTTATTTAAAGGTAGGCCAACTAAACTAAGAACAACTCTGCAGAGGGAAGGCAGAACAAATTCAATCACTTCTATCAAGGAAAGCAAGACCTGGATCATGATCCAAGGTCAAGAAGAAGACTTACAGCAAGGCCTTCTCTATACAAGCCTGGTGCATTATGGGACTTCTTCCTCTGCTTCCTTTGTAGGATGATAGAGCATCCTTTACATGGGGTTTTCTTTCTACAGGCTTTCCTGTCTCTCTCTATGTTCTTTTATGTTCCCACTGCACAACACAAGATGGTACTGTTGTATAGAGCAGAACTACAAAAATACACTTGGCATCCAGAACAAGTGATGACAGCATCTAGCCAAACGCCAGACTTTCCTCACTCTACAAAAAGCTGTGAAAATGGCTGGAAAACTCTAGAAAGGTCCTGCAGAGTAATGATATCATCAAAAGGCCCCCAAAACTTCCATGAGTGGACAAGAAATGCCTCATGTAAAGAAGCCCCCAAACTGGACAAAACATCCAGCAGCATCCGTTACATTTTGGGAGATTCCAGGAAGCAACGAGTCATTGCAGAAACAAGGTAAAACAAAAGGGAAAATGATTTGAGCCAGTTAACAGTACACAATGAATTAGATATGTTGGTGCAGAAAAAGGGACGCCTGGCACTTTCAGTTCACATCCTTTGGAGGTGTGATCAGAGACATTTTGTTGCCTTGAAAATGAGCACTAACAGCTCCCCCAATCCCTCCTGCTCTAGGAACCATACCTGGAAAAATCTCAGCACACCGTTCTTGCCTTTACACATTCTGTTAGCTGCAGCAGCCGGCTTGCTTTGTCTTACTGTGTGATAGCAATGCCTGGCCTGAGAGGAAATTGAGAACCACGTTTCAGATTGAAACCCCTTTGAATGTTGCCTTACTCTGTGCAGCAGCCTGAACAGATGGCAGCCCCTTGTGGTGAAAGACGGTGCTCTCACTCAGCGAGCTCCAAGACCTGTCAAACCTGGGCAATTGTTTCAAGCTCCATATGGGCAGAAAATGGTTTTAATTCTGCACTTTCCTTTTGCATAAGTACTAAGCCTAGGCATACGGAGCCTTTGGTCTGTTTTTAAAAAAATCTTTTTTCAATGCCATATTTATTTTCTTACAAAAATATTTAGAAATGACATAATTTATTATCTTGATCTGTTAGTTCCAATTCCTCTCTCAAAAATTCAGTTATTTATTTAAACCATTTATATACCATTATAATTAGCATAACTTAATGTTTGTATTTTAACTTAATGTTTGTATTTTTTAATTTAATGTTATAATTATTTTTTTAACTTAACGTTGTAAGCCGCCCCGAGGCTTCGGTGAATGGGGCAGCATAAAAATGTTTTAATAAATAAACAAATAAATAAATAAATAAATAAATAAATAAAGCCTTTGATACTTGACCTTGGGGCTTCACCATGGCCTCTATTTTGTAACCCACAACATTCTAAAAATATTTATAATATTTTCTTAAACCGTATGAATGGTTACATATATGAATCTCATTCTACCTTCATTTCTGCAAAGAATCAGCAAAAAATAGACAGGACTACTAATTTGTGTTAGACATTCAGGTGAAAGCAAGATATATGGAAGATATTAGAGTGATCATTTGTCTACTTTTATAGAAGATAATCCAGAGGACACAGCTGTGTCATCAATATGAAGGGCCATCCTGTTCAATTCTTCCCAAAAGATAAAGAATTGTTGCCCATCAAGACTGGACTGAACAGACAAGCACAGAAGTCACCTGGTCACAGCCTTCCACACTATGGTGAGATTTCAATTATAATTAGCATATACAAATTGAATGCAAATCTGTGCTCTGTTTTGTACCCTTTTTTGGCAATGCATTTCCTCTATTTCGGTAATTCATACGTAGTGATTCTAACTAAATTGCAGTTGAAACCAAAGAATTGTTTCACCTTTGATTTTACTGAAGTGATCACAAGAGGGGGCTAGTTGCTTCCCATGTTGCAACATAGACTTTACTATAAGGTTGTATGAAAATTTCATTTCCGTTTCTGAATCATCCACATTTGCCCTGTTCAGAATTTCAAACAAGAGAAGGAACATTTTCAAAGAATGCACCTTTTTCAACAATGCACATTTTCATGTTTAGTCAATGGGGAAAGTGCACACTTTTTAAAAATTTGCACAGAAATGCATTTTTTTCCCATTTGAAATGGAACATTTTCCTTTTTTAAGAAACTGAAAAGCAGGTTACAAACAAAAGTTGGAGCAAGCCAAATCAAACTTTGAACTGAAATTTGGAGAATTTCAGTGAGCTCAAACATGCCTGGTTCTCAAATGTCACATCCAAACACATCATTTTAATTTTGCTATACTGCTTTTTTTTTCTTTCCCTCTTGCAAAAGCTACAAACCAGTTTTGTGCTTGAGTGAGGGAGGCAATGCATCCCCTAAAAATCAAAGTGTGAAGTTCTTCATGAAATAGAGATGAAGAGAAACAGCTTTGAGACACTACAGCAGACAGATTTCTCCTGGCTAGTTTTAAAAAATTGCTGTTATATTGTTCTTTGCTTTTAATAAGCTTTTTGGTTTAGGAGTTGTATTGATCATTTTATATACTCTTGGACACCCCAAAAACATTACATTCTGTACCAGAATGATTAAGCAAACTGTCATTTATTTATCAGTTCTGCAAAATGCTTGAACAGACTTCTAATCATAGTCACCAAAGATCTACACCTAAAGGAGATTGCCTTTCTAAAGCTTCTTGTTAGCTCTGAGGCTTGCTTCTTAAAGTAGTGATAACAGAGTAACAGTGAAATCCAGTGAGGCTGTCCAGAACCCTCTGAACTTGGAGGATTACAGGCATCCTATGCATGGTAGAACGCTTGCCTCTAGATTCTTCCTGCCATGCCAAACACTTAGATATACAATTTTGACCAAATAGGTGTTTGGCCTTAGCGTGCAGGGAGAGAAGGCTGAGGTACTGCCAGGATCCTGGGTGTGCTGGGGGAGCCTATCTTCTCCCCTCTGTACCCCTGTCCCTGACTGGAGAACAGGTTTCTAAGGTTATTTATTTAACACTTTTGTATACCATCACAATAGCCACATGGCTATCTGGACAGTTCACAAGGTAGGAGCTGGAACTCTGAATTGTGGAAGGTGTTGCCCTCTAAGTCCCCATCAAATTCTGTTTCTGAGACGAGGGAATTGCAAGGTCTTTATTTAAAACTGTTGTATACCTTCCACTATCAAATGGTCTTGGGACAGTCTTACAATAAAACAAAGTGGAGCACAGCATCCATTCTTTAGAATAAAAACCCACTTAAAATCTCATCTAAACCTTGAAATACTGGGAAAAGAAAAATGGTTTTGGCTTTTTTAGTCTCCTCCTCCTCTGGAACTACCCTAGGCATCACGAAGTAACATCAGCTTTTACATTTTGAAACTCTCATGTTAGTATACTAATTTCAAGAGACTCTGTTTTGGTACATAAACAGCATCAAGTTCTGAGGCATCTTAAGGACTAGAAGATTTATTAGGGCAGGAGCATTATTGGACTACAGCTCACTTCATTTGATGCATGATGTGTTATTCTCAAGCTGCATTTATATTTGTGTGTGTGTGTGTGGAGAAACAAGATCTGCTGTTTTTAGGGGTGATGTTGTTACTTACCCTTGATAATGCTTGTCTTGCCAAGGTCTCAAAAGCCTGTACTACATTGATATCATTCTTGGCACTAACTTCAAAATAGGCAATATCCTTTTCTTTGCACCAGGATGAAGCTGCTTCCTTTGACACCTGCAAGATAAAAGAGATTTGTTCAGATGATCCAAATTCTGTAATAAATGAAATGATATTTCTTTTAGCAATGCAAGTGGTATTGTTATTTGCCAAACCAACATAATGGAAGAAAGGCTACCCTTGAAGGGATAACTTTGTGCAGTGGAGAACTCTATTTAAAAGTAACGCACAATTGTGTTTCTGCACCAGAGGAGGGAAAACATGCTATATCAGGAAAGGCTGAAGGAACTGGGTATGCATGTTGTATTTTATGGCTTTAATAGTTAGGAAACACACAGAGAACTTCAGGTACTTGGCAGAATAGTAATGTAATAAATGTAATAAATAAAAATAGCCCAGAGAAAAAAAATGTCTGAGCAGGGACATAATAGCATAGACTGTTCCACTAACTTGTCACAGAAGTGGGAAGACATTTGTTGCTTTTCCCCAGAGGGCACAACTAGACCTAATGGGCTTCAGTTTTACAATGTTAATGTTTTATTTGGACATTATGAGAAACTTCTTCACAAGAAGTGCAGTTCGACAACCATTCGCCCAGATGGTTGGTTGGCTCTCCTTTGGAGAGGTCTTCAGGCAGAGGCTAGTTTGTGTGGGATTTCTCTTGCTCTGAATTTCCTGCATTATGCAGGAGTTTCAACCAGTTGGCCTACAAGGGAGCATCCAACTCAGTGATTCAGTCATGGGCAGAAGGAATGTACAGTCTCAGAAGCGGGAGGGAGGCTACAAAATGGTACAGAGGGACCATTGCTTTGCCAGAGGTAGCAGTACTTGTCTTGAATACAAGTACTGCTACCTTTCCAAATCCATCCAGCCTTTTACACTCAAGGTTGTTTCAGACAAAAAGGGCTGTTTGCAATATGGTTGTTCAGCAGCCATTCCTCACAACAAGAGTATCTTCCAGGGGAGCATCATTTGGTTGCTCAAGTGACCACTCTGCAATCCTCCCGGACGGACAAAACTATTGAAAAGTTTACAACTTTGGAGCTGGTGCTGTTGGAGTCTCCAGTTGTGAAATCACCCCTTGACTTAGAAGCATTAGGATTTTAGGTTATGGGGAGAACAGGGATTAACCTGAACCCTATCCCATTATTCAACCATTTCTAATATTCTCCATCCTAGCAAGAGGGGGCCCTAAAGCTGAGTCATATTTGGTTGCTCTGATTCGTACTACTACTCACATCATCAATATGAATGAACCTTGTATGGAGCCAGCCAGCAAATGAGTGCATACGTGCCTAAAAACACTATCTGTGCAGTGCTTTATATGCCTATGCACCTGCAAGACCCTGAGTAATTGGTTCTTTTTAACTTGCAGACTTGTTTCTGCTTTCAAAGTGGCTGAGAAAATTACATGAATTTGGTGATTCATGCAATTTGCTGCAGGAGGGAGTTTCCCCCATGAATAGGAAACTCCAGCAGACCAGCTGGAGCAAGAGTGCTAATGTGGGAAATTAGGGAAATAAGGATTTCCGCTGCAAAGGCACCTGAGTACATGATGAGAGCAGGTGAATGGAAGAGGGGCAAAGCAGCCAGAGCAAGCTGCAGAGCACCTAGTCATCTGCCAGGAGCAATCAGCAAGCCACCAGCCCACTAGGGTTCATTCTCATGGTGGCCTAGCATGGCATGTGACCTTGTCCGTTATATAAGGGCGTCGGCCAAAGGGTGGGGTCGCCGCCGTTTGGGCGCCGAGTGGGGAGGGGCTGGGCTGGCCAGGGGGCTTTGTTTGGCTGCGTGATTTTTAGCCTTCCTGCTACGCTGCTTGTCACTGTAAGTTTTTAATTGTTTTTATAATTTTAAGTTGTTTTATGGAGTCGTCCCTGGCCATGTTGCCGCTTGCGCTTCCTGGGGAGCGCACAGGCGCTGCCATTGGGGTAGTCTTGGGCAATGGACGTTACAGCGGTGGGAGCTTAACGTGTCCGCATAGAAGAAGGAGGGACAGATGGTTGACACCTGTCCCTACCTCTGGTTTTGCTCCCAGCCAGAGGGTGCCAGGGAGTTTTGTCAGCCGCCCCTCGGGCCTGACGGTGCTGTTGCTTAACGCCAGGTCGGTCAATAACAAATCTTCCCTCATCCATAACTTGATTGTGGATGAGGGGGCCGACCTGGCTTGCATAACGGAGACCTGGGCGGGAGGGGGGGGGGATGTGGCCCTCTCCCAACTATGCCCGCCCGGGTATCTGGTTCAGCACTGTTCGCACCCAGAGGGGAGGGGGGGGGTTGCTTTGGTTTACTGAGCCTCCATCTCCCTCACAGGACTTCCGGTCCCCTCGAGGCCAGGGCTGGAGTGCCTCTACTTGGTGTTGGGCGACTGAGACAGATTGGGGATTCTGTTGGTGTACCGTGCACCCTTCTGCCCAACAGTCTCCCTGCCTGAGCTGACGGAGATCGTCTCGGACCTGGTGTTGAGGACCCCCAGGATGGTGGTCCTGGGGGACTTCAATCTCCATGCCGAGACTGATCTGACCGGGGCGGCTCAGGACTTCATGGTCTCCATGGCGGCCATGGGGCTGTCTCAACATGTCATCGGCCCGACCCATGAACGTGGACACACCCTGGACCTGGTTTTCTCGACGGGACAGGAAGAGGGTGGTCTGAGGGTGAGGAATTTATGTTTGACTCCCCTGTCATGGTCAGATCACTTCCTGGTGAGGTTTGTGCTCAAGAGCGACTTCTCCCTCTGTAAGGGTGCGGACCCGACTGTGTGGGTCCGCCCCCGGAGCCGGATGGATCTGGAAGGATTCCTGAAGGCCCTGGGGGAGTTTCCGGCTGACAAGACGGGTGCTCCTGTCGAGGCTCTGGTCGAACTGTGGAATGGGGAGATGACCAGGGCTGTAGACACGATCGCTCCTAAGCGCCCTCTCCCACCGGGCAGAGCCCGCTGTTCCCCTTGGTATACTCCTGAATTGAGGCCGATGAAGCAGGTTGGGAGACAGCTAGAGCGTAGGTGGAGGAAATCACGTGATGAATCTGACCGAACACACTTGAGAGCCCACTATCAGGCCTATGCTGTGGCGGTGAGGGCGGCGAAAAAGAGATTTTTTTCCGCTTCCATTGACTCCTCACAATGCCGTCCGGCGGAGCTTTTTCGAGTGGTGCAGGGCCTGGTTTGTCCAGGCCCGAAAGAAGACCTGGTTCCACCTTCAAAGGCCTGCTGTGACGACTTTGCCAGGCATTTCAGGGAGAAAATCGCTCAGATTCGTCACGAGCTGGATTCCACTATTGATACAGAGGTTTTAAGGGAGACGCCAATGCCGCCGTCTGGTCCAGAATTATTGGATGAATTTCAGTCATTGCGGCCCGATGATGTGGACAAGGTGCTTGGACGAGTACATCCCACCACTTGCCTATTGGACCCTTGCCCGTCTTGGTTAATAAATAATTCCAAGCACGGGATTGGGACCTGGATTTTGGAAGTGATTAACGCTTCTCTGAGGGAGGGTCGGGTGCCTGCCCCTTTAAAGGAGGCGGTAGTCCGACCGGTCCTGAAGAAGGCGTCACTGGATCCAGAGATGGCCACTAATTATAGACCAGTGGCCAACATCCCGTTTCTGGGCAAGGTGTTAGAGCGAGTGGTGGCGGGACAACTCCAAGCACTCTTGGATGAAACTGATTATCTGGACCCATTTCAGTCCGGCTTCAGACCCGGGTACGGTACTGAATCTGCCTTGGTCGCCCTGTACGATGACCTGTGCAGGGAGAAAGACAGGGGGAGTGCGTCCCTGTTGGTTCTCCTGGACCTCTCAGCGGCTTTCGATACCATCGACCATGGTATCCTTCTGGATAGGCTTGTGGGATTGGGGGTCGGAGGCACTGCTTTGCAGTGGTTCCGCTCCTATCTCGATGGCCGGTTCCAAAATGTGGCGCTGGGGGACTATGGCTCTGCGCCATGGCAGTTATGCCATGGAGTACCGCAGGGGTCCATTTTGTCCCCGTTGCTGTTCAACATTTACATGAAACCGCTGGGAGAGGTCATCAGGAGGTGTGGGCTGCGGAACCATCAGTACGCTGATGATACCCAGCTCTACCTCTCGTTTTCCACCAATCCAGGTGAGGCAGTGGCTGTACTGAACCGGTGCCTGGCCGAGGTAATGGGCTGGATGAGGGCCAATAAACTGAAGCTCAATCCAGACAAGACGGAGGTCCTGTTGGTTGGTGGTTCTGGCTTTGGACAGGGTGAATTGAACCTTGTTCTGAATGGGGTTGCACTCCCTCTTAGGGACAAGGTTCGCAGCTTGGGAGTGCTCCTCGACCCGGAGCTTTCACTAGAAGCTCAGGTGACAGCAGTGGCGAGGAGCGCTTTCCTCCAGCTTCGGCTGATCCACCAGCTGCGCCCCTATCTGGAGTATGACTGCCTCGCGACAGTGACACATGCATTGGTGACTTCCCGTCTCGACTTCTGTAACGCGCTCTACGTGGGGCTACCCTTGAAGACGGTCCGGATACTTCAACTGGTTCAAAACAGAGCTGCCAGGCTGCTGACGGGGACTGGGCGTTGTGTTCACATGACTCCAGTTCTCCGTCAGCTTCACTGGCTTCCCATTGAAGTCCGGGCCCAATTCAAGGTGTTGGTGATGACCTATAAAGCCCTAAACGGCTTGGGTCCTGGTTACCTGAAGGAGCGCTTACATCCATATATGCCCAGCCGCCCCTTGAGATCGGCGGGGGAGGCCCTTCTCCAGGAACCCTCCGTGAAAGAAATTAGGAGGGTGGGTACTCGGAGGAGGGCTTTCTCTGCGGTGGCGCCTAAGTTATGGAATGCGCTCCCCAGAGAGGTCCGCCTGGCGCCGTCGTTATTTGTTTTTCGGCGCCAGGCAAAGACCTTTTTATTCAAGCAGCATTTTAACTGTTAACATTATTGGTTTTATTTGGCCAGGGCGGCTTATTTTATACTGTATTGTTGTATTTTAATTTAATATTTATATTTTTAATTTATATTATAATTATTTTAACTTGATGATGTGAGCCACCCCGAGGCTTTGGCGAATGGGGCGGCATAAAAATGTTTTAATAAATAAATAAATATTAAATAAATAAGGGCCATTCTTAGCAACAATGCTACATGTGCAGATCCTGCTAGTTTCTAGTCTGCCAATTTAAATAGTAGCATGTAGTATATGAGTAGGAATCTTCAGATGTAAATTCCTTTGAAAATTATACACAATATTAAGGCAAAGAAGAAATGGGAAATGCTGGATCAACAGCTTAGAGAGGCAGAAAGCCTTCATTCATCAGAGGAATTGGAATACTTTTTACATCATTTTCTCCCAATAGGAATGATTCCTTTTGGATCCTGACTTGCAGTGTTTCCAAGAAGGTTTAAGAATTCTGCCATTCAGCATCTTCCAACCACTGAGACTTCCTTCTCTTACCTGCCGGTCCTTCAAATCAATCTTATTGCCCAGCACTACTATTGGGAAACTTTGATCTGTAGGCAGCACCTTCTGCAAAAAGTCTTCCCTCCAATCATCCAAAGCCTCAAAGGAATCCATGTCTGTGACATCAAAGGTCAGCATGCAGCCATCAGAGCCTTTGTAGAATGTGGATACCATGGACCGGAATCGTTCTTGTCCTCCAGTGTCCCAGATCTAAAGGAGGATGAACACACAGGAATTCATATTAGCAACCAATGTGAGTGTGCTATCATGGAAGTCAAAGCCTCCTACGCATCATCTAAGGACTTGCTCACATTTTATCTTGGTGTCTGCAGTGCCCAATGCCTCTCTGTTCCAGCAGGGGCAGCAAGAGCCAATACAAATTTCCACAGCTAGAGAAGTTCTCCTGGAAAGTGTAGATCACACACCACCACCCCTGGCAAGGAAGATGGGAACTAGATATTTGTGCATAAGAAGACAGAAGGAGACTACAGTTTAAATTGAGGAGATGTAATAATGGGCAATGTCTGTCTGTCAGTGTCAGTGCTCAAACTGTAATATTTGCAAATAAATGATATATTACAAAACACCAATAAGCTGCCAATGACCTCCTTCCGAAGGGAACCAGATCAGCTGCATCCTTATAACTCCTAATCTTTCAGAGATAAGCATGTAGCAATTTATTCACTAACAAAACAAGAAAGACTCCTGTTGTAATGAAGAGCATCATTTCCATGCTGCAGATTGAAGCTCAGCTACCTCTTGGAAATTTCTCATCAACAGCAATATGGGCAAAGGTAAGTACTATCTCCCAATAGCATTCATTTCAGAGGAGAGCATGTGGCTTTATTATAACTCTCACCTGCAGTTTCAGTGGTGTGTGGTCCACAAATACCATTTTAGACAGGATACTGGCTCCCAAAGTGGTCTGATAGTCTTCATAAAATTTCTTGTGTACATACTGGTGGAGTAGAGCTGTTTTCCCTACACTAGAATGAAGAAAGAGGCATATTATGGGCATTTTAGTTTTAGAAAGTTAGTTTTGTCACTGAGAAATTGCACTGGATGTAAGCATAACCGTTTTATTTTAAGTTCTGGTTTAGCAGCCATTCACAAAGAGAGATCATTTGAAAATGATCAATTAAGTGGACAGACTTCTTATTGCCAGGAAGTTCCATTGTCTAAGGGTAAAGTACATTTTAACTTTGATAATGCATGCCTTTTGCTTCTCGCTTATTCAGAGCAGAGGAATATACAAAGGAGAGGCCTGGCAAGCAGGCAGTTACATTACCTTGAAGAAGCATTCAACACCTCTTTGATTCATCCACATTTTGGTGTTACAACTTACCATGGAAATGGATTTAATTGTTACCACTTGATGTACACATGATACTCAATGTGAAAGTGAAACTTTTTTTTAATTGTGGAATAAAAGTTAAACAAGAACAAGCTGGTGCTTGTTGGCTGCATAAATATTCATTCCCTTTGCTGTGGCCTACCTAAATGTGCTCTGGCACAACCTACTGCCTCCAGAAGTCAGATATTCAAAGTAGCTGAATGGAGTCCACTTGTGTGCAAATCCAGTGCCACATGATCTCAGATTAAAGACAACTGTTTCTGGAAGGCCTCCTTACTGTTTGCTGGAGAGCATATCTAAACAAACTGCATAATGAAAACCAAGGAGCTAGCAGAACAACTCTCAAATGAAATTGTGCAAAGGTACTCATTGGGGTTTGGTTATTAAAAAGACCTCAAAATATGAACATTTCTTAAAGCGCTGTTAAATCCATTATTACAACATAGAAGAATGTGACTCAACTATGACTGTCTAGAGAAGGCCATCCACTGAAATTCAGTGACTGGGTGAGAAGGACATTATTGCAACCGTCTGGGTTACTGGGTGGGCCTAGTTTTAAGGCCAGAACAAGACTCATGCATATGAATTGAATTTCAAATGCTGTATTCCTGTGGGAACTTTTATCACCACCAGCAGTTTTGGAAACACTGTTCCAACCAGCCTCTAACTAGCTAACATGGATTTTCTTGGTGCTTAAAAAAAGAGAGAAGACTAGATGCTCATTCTCCTCCTTTTCAAAACCCTTGTTTTCAGGCTTGTGATTCTCTGGATCATGAACTGGGACCGCTCCTGTTGAAATCTTGGTGCTTAAATAAAGTAAAGAACAGATTTAGGTAATTCAAAAAGTGTTGTTTCAAAACGAAGTCTGATTTGTGTGCTTTTTCATTCCCCTTTGCTTAAGCACTTAAATGTAACATCTACCACAAGAGTTGTGTGTTTCCTTTTGAGTAAGCCTCAGTCGAGAGTCTTCTGCTTGTGTTATTGCCACTTATTAAAGTTGCAGGTGTAAATAGAAGGCACTGGCATAGACCCTTATTTCCTAAGCCCTAGGAGTGTCTTTTAATTTTCAAATGTCCCCTGGCTTTAGTTCAGGTTGATATAAAGGGTGATGACAGTCTACTTTAGTAATTATTTCTCCTTATTTGCACCTATACTGCTGGGGTTTAGTGCATCGCCTTTTCTCCTTTGATATTCTTGAAGGAACCCAACAACAGGCATTCCAGAATAGCAAGAAGTAATATAACATTTCTTTCTAATTGGGAGGATCAGACCTTGGTTCAAATCCTTCATTGCCATGAAGCTGTCTAGGTAACTCTCTCTCTCTCTCTGGCAGAGTTTGCACCTGGGTTTTGGGTGACTTGTTGCCACTCTGGCTGGGTTTGCACAACATGACAAACTGCAAGGGTAATTATATGCATCTTTCTGGTACACCAGCAGTAAGCATATGCGCATGGAGTTTGGAATAAGCCTCTGTGACCTCTCTGTAATTTTACAAACCTGGACTCTATCCTAGCTCACAGGGTGATTGTGAAGATAAAATGGGGACAAAGGGGGGGAGGAGAAAGTTTAGCAACTTGGAATTTGAGTGGGATGCAAATCTAATCCATAAAACAGCTGTATTTTTAAAAATATATTGTTGCATTTATATCCTGCCTTTCTTCCTCTATTAAGGAACGAAGATGGCTCTTCCGCCTCCTCCTCATTTTATCCTCACAACAATGCTGTGAAGCAACTTGGGCTGAGAAACAGTGACCGGCCCAAAATCACCTAGTGATTTTCATGGCTAACTGAGGATTGGAATTCAGATCTCTCAAGTACTAACCTGACACACTAACCAATATGTTACACTGGCTTTCTCATTACCAACCAAAGGAGAAAAAGCCATTACTGTGGTTTCGTTGAGAGAAAGCAAGTCTCTCCATATGGACCTTTCAAACTCTAAAATTAAGTGTAATACTTACCCCAGAGCTCCAATGATAATGATTTTCAAGTCCACTTTTTTACTTGAACCCATGAATAGAACCTATAGGGAGAAAGAAATTAACATCTTGCATCTTAAAACACTGAAATGACAGAAGTCCTTCTGTCACATATACCACATAGCAGACACCAGCACAAAACCCCTGCTATCTGACTGCCCTTAAGTGTGTGTCATTGTGAATTAAGCATACTTGGTCTTTCTTGAGTGAAAGCTTTCAGGAAAGAATCCCCCTCCCACAAATATTGTGCCTGTCTACAGACTTTGAGAGCTACAGGGAATTTATAGATGCTTAAGGATTTGACACAGGAGTCAATTTTCTATAATCTCCCTGACAAATCTAATTTTTGTTTTCCAGTCAAGCCAGCTGCTCTTACCAGCTGATACTCGAGATTATGCATTGCTTCCACCTCATTGAGATCTTGACCCAATTAACCCAGAACTGTTTTTTAAAAATCTATAAAGGTTTCTAGATTTGCAAGGCCCATTTAATTCACCAGGTGCCTTTGCCAAGAGGCGTGTGGCAAATGACTACAAGCAAGAGAGCCCATTCCATGCTGGCACCCTGGTTGTGAATGCCCCCTCTAGGGAGGCTCACCTGTTACATATTTTATGGTCATGTTGGCACTAAGGAAAGATACTTTAGTATTCTCAGGTCTTTTCAAATCTATTTTTTTTAAATGTGCTAGTCTGATATCCCTTTTGTGGATTTTATTCTCGCTTTATTTGTTATTGAATACAATAAATAATATGTATTATTTAATATAATACGGATGCATTGTTTAATATAATAAAACTCAAACTGTGTCTTTGCTCCCAGCTGCCTCCCTCTTCCCCATTTCAGTACATTTGTGCTGTACTTTCTCAAGGATGGAGCATTGGGAGCGTTTTCCACACAGAGCTCATAAGAAGACGATTGTCACCAAAATGGCTCTGAACAAGCCTATTAGTGTTGCTCCCTCATGCAAGAGACAGCACTGCATGTTGTCATTTAGCCAAGGCTTCCTCTATTGATGCAATACTTTCTGTGCAAAACTGCACACTTTTGTCTTCTTGGAACTTGACTACTATTTGTTTGCCTGTCACCCAGCATTCTATTTTGTGTTCTTTTTGTAACTAGGGAAGGAACTTAAAGTCCAAATAAAGAGAGGCCTTAGAGATTACAGCTTGCTTTTCGCTTATGGCAGGGATGGGCAGCAAAATTCACTGCTGCTCATTCTCTCAATGACAGACTATAGTTATTTGTTACATAATCTGAACTGAGACAGTGTGAATTAATCTTTGGAGCTGGTATGACTGATTATAATCACAACTTTCTATACCATTAAGATAAAGTAAATAGCACATTTTAATGGTTATTTGGCTCATGATGTTTGGCTCTAAAACAGAATTTCTGTCCTATCTTTCTGCATCTTGGGTAAGTTTCCTGCCATGCTTTATTCTTTCTTAAAATTGTCTCAGATGTTTCCAGCTTGCCTGTGCTGATCCCCAGATATTTTCACAATATATGCCTTCATGGCCCTTGGGTGCTATAGAAGCAATTAGCCCTCCCCATCTTGTCAAAATGTAGTTGTCCCAAACTTGTATCTGAACTGGAGTATATCTTTGTATTGCCATCTGCACTTGCCAGAATTTTTCAGTATAGTTTACAACGCAAAAATAACCAATATGTTAAACAAAAACACAATAAAAGTGCTTATATTAGGGGAAATCACTTGCAAAAAGTGCACACACTAGAAAAAGTATGTTAAAATTATGTGCATATTAGGACAAACATGCATGGAAACACAGATTTTTGTATAGACTTTTTTTTGTTTTGGTCAAATTTGTAAACTGATACAGAAACAGGATGATGGGAATGTATGGTCAGAGAAATGAGAAATTATTCAAACCTGCAGCTGGCAGATTTTCTCATTCCTTTCTATCTCTATTTAAGAAAGAATTCTGTTCAAGCGAGCTTTTGACATGGATACTGGTCTGCTGGGTTTGATATGATTTTAATTCTTTGATTGTTTCATTTTTGTCTTCGAGGAAGGAAACCTATGTCTGCTACATAGCATCTGGAGGGCCATAGGGTATTTTGGATTCCTTGACCAGAGGTCAAAATCAGCAACAGTTCCCCTTGCAGCTGGTGCAGAATGAACCATGCTAGCTGTTGCCCAAGATAGTAACTTAAGCTCAGAGAAGGGAGAGTTTTGGGTTGGGTTGGGTTGGGTTGGGAGGGGAAGACACTGCAGAGGCAGGACACAAATTCTTTTGAGGCCTCTCCAACCTCACTTCCTTCCCCTCTGACATGCCGCAGTTGGATGGGCAAAAAGCCTACCTAGAGAAAAAATGCAGGGTGAGAGGATGGGGAACTGACATTCACTTCCTTTGTTCCCCTCTCCCAGCATGGGATGCTGCTAGCTGTGAAAGTGCAGCACATGGAACTGAGCCCTAATGGCTTTTATTTATTTACTGTATTTGTCAACAGCCCGATACCCAAAGCTATGTGGGCAGTGTACGCTGTCGTCCATGCTCATGTTCATTGATTAATTTACTATATCCTTATCGTGTTTGTCCCTTTGTTTTAATGTTGGTAGAGTGGTACCTCGGCTCATGAATGCCTCAGTTCATGACCAAATCGGGTTGCGAACAGAAATTGGAAAAAAAAAATCCTCAGTTTGCTGCAAACTCTGCATGAGGGAGGGAGGGAGGGAGGGAGGGTGGGGGATGGCCATGATTGCACCTGTTTCCCCCCTGCCAGTGCACCCACAATCGTACCCATCTCCCCACCTGCCAGCATGCCCGTGATCATGCCCGTCTTCTCTGTGATTAAAAAAAAATATATTTACAGAAAGGATTAACCTTATTTACATTGAACCTTATGGGGAAATTTGACTTGGCTCACAACCACTTTGGGTTGCGACCAGAGTCGTGGAACGGATTGAATTTGTGAGCCAAGGTACCACTGTAAATGCTTTGAGTACTATTTCCTGGTAGAAACACAGGGTATGGCTTGCAAAAATGAATAACAAAGAGAGCCAGTGTAGCAGAATGTTTAAATTAAATGGGTAAAGCCCAATTTTGGCCATAAAAGTCACTGGATGTCTTTGGTTCAGTCAGTATCCTTCAGCTGAACCCACTTCACAGGGATGGAGCAGTGGAGGACAATGTAAACTGTTTGGGCTCCTTGCAGGAAAAAGGCAGGATATAAATACAATTACTAAACATGCAAGATGAAGGCCATAATACTACATGCAGAGGATTTGCGTTGACTATCACTGTGATTTAGGATGAAACTCTGTCACTCAGTTATCTTGGATTATGACATTGTATAAGACTACTGATGGCACAGACCAACAAGACTGAAATAGCAAATGGGCAGATCTCATGATGAGCAATATCTTCCAAGCACAAGCACTGGACTCAGTTTATTTCAGATGTTGAAAGAAGTAAGAGTCATGCTGACCATAAAGAAGATCCTCATTATTATGTAATTATGTCAAAATCTCCATTCACATTGCCAGCTGATGGGGCTACACAGACAAAAATAGCTATTGTAGCAACCTACACATTGTTCAAATTTCACCCATTTCATTTTTCTGAGAAAGAATATTTGGCAAAGATATTCCAGTCATTCATTAGGTGGGTGGATTCACCAATCTGCTGCAAGATTGTGGTTCTCTGAGATCACACTGGCTAGCAATGTGATTTGTTTGTTTATTGATTTGGTTTATATGCTGCCCAATTACCCAAAGGCTTTCTGGGCAGCTTACATACAATCAGAACCACAATAAAAACAACAGTACAATAAAACAGTAATAACATTAAAATCAATAAAATTAATAATAGTAATTAAAAGTAAATTTAATTAATTTGGAAATTGAAAAGGGGATGCAAAACAATTAACCAAGAATAGAAAATAATTATACACATCCATAAATTATAAAATTACAGAATTAAAATGGGAATAACTACTAAAACCCTCAAAACAATCCTTTGAAATCAAGGCCAACAGATTTATCCCCCAAAATATCTGTGAAGCAAAAATGTCTTCAGAGGTGGTCTGTGCAAATAAACCCATTGCCTTTAGGTAGCTTTGTTGCATGGCATACACCTTCCTGTCATTTAAGCCAGTGCCTTGCAGAAGTACCAACCATCTCTTTTTTTTCCCAAACCAAAGCTCTTGTGCCCTTGACAACCATGCAACAAGCAGAAAATTAAGGCCTTCCTTTTTCTGCTGCTCTAGTTCCCAAACCCTGCTGTAGCTTGGCTTATAGTTATCTCTAAGAATATATAAAAGGCAATTTGGTGTGTATGCCTCCACTTTCTTCCCCTTCCTCTGACACAGGGTGTGCAACTTTTTTGGCCACAAGGACTATACTGGGCTTCTCCTGAGTGGCCCCAGGGTCCACATGTGTGTGTGAACAGACAAAAGGAAGCATGTGCACACACATTCACATAAAACTCATAAACTTCTCTCTCACTTGCACACCACTTACTCAAGTCCAACTTCTGCCTAATAGCATTTCAGAGGTCTATTTTGTGAAAAAACAAAACAAAACATCATTCTTCTGAAAAACTTTAAACCAGCAAGGAGCTGACCTCTTGGATTCTGTAAAGCACACTGAAAACAGATGGTACCATATAAATAGATAAATGGAGATGCAGTGGTAAAGGGAAGCTTCCCACACCAAATTTCTACTTCAATGAATGTTCTGAGGAAGGGAATCCCCAGCAGGAAAAATGATATCAACCTTAGGGGTAGTAGCAAGTCTAGTTTGAATTAAGATTCCTAAACTCCAGTGATGCAAGATGCTGAAAACCAAACTAAGGGTTCAGGTCTTTCAACAATCCAACATAGTGGGAAAAAAAGCAGCTAAGCTAAAAAAAAGTCATGATGGAAGTTATAAATTCAGAATCCTGTATTAATGCTTTTTTCTCCTGCATGGATGCTCAAGGCAGATTCAAGACTAAAACTGGAGGAAAGAGGAATATTCATTTTTTTCTGTTGACATTGTATATTTGGTTTTTAGTTTTGTTCATTTGTTGTTTTTACAAGATTGTCCTATTTATGAAGACGTTCTTGTTCAGCTCCCTGTTGTCCTTAAGTTCTGAGAAATGAGAAAAGATGGACTTTGAATTAAAAATATGCCAAGTCAGGAAAATTCTTCTGCAATCAGCTGCAAATCATCATAGCACCTCTATGACTATGTTTTATAGTGTGCTAAAGCATAGGTGAGGAACCAGTTCAGCTCCACACATGACCCATATTGGTAACTTTGAATGACCTGGATGGCCACCAGGATGCACATTATGCTGAAGTTGTAAAAAGTTTCTCATGAACTGAGATTTTAGGTCACCTTGGAATGAAAAATTCTGTAGCTGCTGAATGCTCCAAACCCTTAAATCAGGTCCTTGCATGACGCTCTAGTTTAATTTAATATCAGAGTTTTAAAAATACAATTAAGTGTTGTTTTGTTGTTCTGATTCATGGACAGTGGATTGAAGGCTGGAAACTTTTATGGTCTAATGTAACCTGATATGCTAATATCTTGGAAATGCCATCATGGAAAGTGTGACATCTTATTCTGTCCCATTCCAGAGGTTCAAAAGTTGAAGTATCCATCTTTCTGAATCCTACTCTTCTGAAGTTGTTATCCCCACAAAGTTGCTTTTCCTGAAGAGTGGGACACATTGGAGCTTAGTTGTAAATTTTTGTATACAATGCACAATTTGCTTCTATCAACTGTAAAATAGGCACAATTTAAGCTGTTACAGGTACATTAGGAAACAGTGTGGCAGGTCGGTGTATATCAGGTTGGGAAAGGAGAAAAAATATAGGATGTCTGAGAAGAAGCTTCTGAGGCTGCTATCTCATAATCCATTTCTCCTTCCCAAAACTGGGTGAAGATTTTCCAAGCTGGTAGTGTCTTTTCATTGTAATTCCTCTGGAAGAGTTGGGATGTTATGCTATCTTTGCATTACGATAGAGGCCCTCTCAAGAGAGTTCTGAGAAATAGCTCTGGGCCCATTCAGACTAATAAGCATAGGAAAAGAAGCAGTTCAGACTGAATTCAGCCCAATAACACCAGATGGAATTGTTTTTCAGTTGGCAAACATTCCCACATTTTCCCACCAGCAGCATTTTTCTAAAACTGCTTTTTGTGAGTCACAGCTTGAAAGAGCAACAGGCCTGGCCATGTTCAGGCCCCTTTATGCAGAGATTCAGAAAGGGGATTAGTTTTTGAAATATTCACATGCCTGTAAAAGGAACTAGAAGTGAATTTTTCAGTTACTAGAAGGCCCTTTGGGGTCTGATCCCTTAACCTCATCGAAGCCCTCTCATTTTTAGATCCCCCCCACTGCACAAGGACCAATGGAGAAGTGAGAGACAAAAAGCCATTCTTGACTGGAATATATACCCCCATTAAATCTTTCTTTACCTCCCACACCAGCTTTTGGTTATGCTCAAGCTAGTTTTCTCCTGTTGTCTGCCTCTTCAGCCACTGACCTTAGCACACAGAGACGAGAATGATTTCCAAAGCTGCAAACTGATCTGCCTACCCACCAAACCAGTACTTGTCATTCCTAGTCCCCTGTTGCCTGCTCTGGGACTATCTTGTGTCACCTGTCACACCTGTTCAACTTGCAGGAGACATCTAGCCAAAGAAAGGACCCCCCCCCCCCCGCACACACAACAGTAACAACTTACTGATATTCCTCCGGTGTTAACTGGCTTTTTGCTGAGCTGCAAGGTCTGTGCTGCAAGCTGGACAACTAACTTCTTACAGCTTCTGTGTGCCTGCTTCCAACAATGCTCAAAGGAAAACAGAAGCCTCAAGAGGAAAAGAAAGCCAGACAAGAATTTGGAGTGGGATTCCACCCCATGGTACACTCTATAACCACAGATGTTCTTTTCTGTTTGTATCTTTCCCCCTGTATTCAAAGTGGGAGACTGCTAAGAGGCTGTCCAAAAATGACATCACTCACAGAGGGTGGAGACTGTTTGCTGCTGGCAGATTTGTTCAGTGTACAAAACAAAGAGGAAATAAGATGTTAGGAGCCTGACCATAAGCATCTTAGAAGTGTGTGTCCCACTGAATTTTCTGCAACTAATAAATTTCTTAAGCAGTATACTCAGAAGAAACCTAAGCTGTAAGGAAATTTCCCTAATGACTAATCAAGGATCAAAAGGGAAATTATTTTAAAAGTGTCTAACAGGGTTCCTTCTCTAAAGCTTAAAACCCTGTTTCTTACCCATGCTATGATCCTGTACTGGATGATTGCTCCTGTGCCTACTCTAGAATAGAAATGGCAAGGGGAAAGACATAGCTATTAGATACATATTTAAAGTTGGGTTTGAACCTCAGCTAAATACTCAGCATACTCAAGTTCACATTTACACTCTGAATTTCTGAGTGTCAGGTGGTTGTGAAATTACAGGAGCACAGTTAGGGTTGGCCTGAAGCGGCCTCCTCAGCCACACTATAAGAGTACATCTTACCCAAGCCCAAGAGAAAGAAGCAATGTGGATGCCTTGGCTAAGGGCATCTCATGGCCAAGTACCCCCACTTTACAAATCTGTGGGCTAGTAAACTATTCAGGTGTTTAATGAGCTATATTATAGAATGCTTCCCGGAGCTGGAAATGATAAATTACCGGACAGCCAGCAGATGAAGACAAGAGATTCCTCCAGACTCTCCACCCAAGTAATGGTTGGGAGAGATGGAAGGAGGTATACTTCCCTAGGAAAGGAAGCTTGGGCTCTTTCTCTGTATTGTACTCTTTCTCTGTACTGTACTAGCAACTCCTCCCCCAGGAAATGGGGGAGCTTGATGCAGGCACCAGAGGAGATCTAATAAAGGGGCAAGGGTATAGATTTCTCTGAAGGAGAGGGAAGACATGATGTTGGCATCAGGAGACATCACCATGGAAACTGTATACCTTGAAAGAACCAAGCAACATTCAGCATCAGGCTGCACTAGTTAGAGGAGATTTCCTGTTTATTTATCATTAGTCACTGAATTGCCACTTTAAACCACTTATTGCTTTGTGATCTGAATATGATCCACCTTTTCTCCACTCTTGACTTACAATTTTTTTTACCCTGTTTTCACCCAAATCCAGACTGTGTGCACTGGGGATAAAATGGAGCATAATCTTATCATTATTTATCCTAACACTGATTTAACAACCAGGCTGCACACAACGTGTTGAGCAAACCATGTTGTAGCCTAGCTGTGTTTCTCCAAGTACACAAGGAGCGCCAAGAAGCCCAGCAGAAGAGACCCCAGGGGGATCCTTAGCAGTCATTCCCAAGGGCCCAGAAATGCTTGGGGACTGGGTTTGTTCCTCTCCTGGGTGGTACTAGCAGTTGTTCCAGGCCCTGCTTGCAGACAGTAGATGACAACAAGGACTACTACTGTGAACGCAAGCAGTCAGCATGAAAAGGAATATCCCCTGGCCAGCACTGCTGATGGGGACTCAACCATTTTCAGATCATGGGATTCTAGAACTACCACATTTCTAGGACTACACACTTCCAAGTCTACTGTCAGAATCGCCTTACCAATGGTGGGAATGAACAAGATTGAATCACCTCGAACCCCAGGATTTTTATTGGTGAGATCACCCAGGACCCCCTGCAGTTTATTTACAACAGCATTGGGTAGTGGTGATCACAGCCAACTACAATCTTTTAGAACATATACAGAGTATTTTATAGGTTCTGAGTCACATATACAAGCAGGGTAGGTGATGGTGAAATAAGGGGAACACAGTGAAAAAGAATGTGAGAGATCTGCAGACTTAATAGCACTGATTACAAGAGATTGACTTAACAATTCAGGAAGGCAAGGATTATTGTAACTCTTAGCTGTGAGTTTGATCAGGCAAATTAGAGTGATTGCAATGCTGCTTTAAAAACCCTTTTTTTGGCCACTATCAGTTTTATTGCTATTAGCACAAGAATAGCTGCTCACAGGCAGGCTGAGAGTTCCAGTCTCTTAAAGGAAAAGCAATTCTAAACTGTAACCTGGCTTGGCATTCTGCTACTTTCTAAGAAAGAGGCACATAGAAGCAACCTATTTCTACCAGGATTTCTCTGAATTTCCCAACACTACCAAAAAGGTCATCCTTCCTGTCAATGCCAGACACATTGGTTTAACAGTGTTGTCAGATGAGAAGCCCAGTGGTGTAGTAATCCTCCCACAAGCTGACTGCTTGCTCTCAGAATAGTTTTCCTTGAAGGGTGCAGGGGAGTGTCACATCTGCTGCCTTTTATTTCTTAGGGGAAGGCAAAAAAACAACAACAAAAAACAAAACCTCAGGTGTGCTTAGACTTCTTCTAGAAAGATAGCAAGAGAACAATTAGACTAAGTCAACAGCTAAAGATAAATAATATCTCAAAAACCTTAAAATGTGACCTTATCTATCTAGGCTATTTATAGTCATGGAGCAATAAAAGACAACAAAATCAATTGCTACAATAATTTCATTCAGTACCAGAAATAGCCAAGTGTATTTTGGCACAGAGCTCCTTCAGTGGTCTAGTATGTTAAAAGGTATGTGAAAAAGTACAAAGAAAGTCACATACATATCTCAGCTCAAGCTTCTTGTGCTCCCTTTTAATTTCCCATTTGGGCAAGACTTTTCCGAAGAAAGCCTTCTTCTCTCCAATATCTTCCAAGCCACTACTTGTTAACCATGCTAGTGACCTGTTGGACTTGGTGCTACCTTTCCTAATAATGCAGATTCTTGTTTGAACTTTTATAATAGTTTTGAGTAATCTTAAAGCACTCTGAAGGGATTTAACTATCTTGTCTCCCTTTTTAGTTTCCTTTCAGTTTTGAAGTTAAATGTGACTTTATCCAAACCCCTTTAACATTCCTCTTAAATATATTAATGAGCAGCAGCTAGCAGGTAATCATGTGCAGCTGCAAGCCATGCAAAGCTCTGCCTACTGAGTTCTGCTTATGTAACATCTATCAAATGCAGGAGGTCATTTTCCTTTCCAATTAGCATAGTCCAGCAGATAAGAAACTTGTACCGGGTTAACTGACAGGTCCCCCTTGCTTCAGCGTGTGAATAAAGTGATAACAAGGCTTTTACAGTTCACAATTCTTCCTGACAGGGTAGCATTGAACAAATTAGCAAGTGAGGAGCAAAGAGGTTACAAATGTCTTCCTTTTTCTTTCCTAGGCTTCCTGCAAGCAGTTTACATGGCAACAGTTTTGCAAAACTGCTTTTCACCAGGCTGAAGCTCGTTTCTTAAAGCAGAATGTGTTTTTACAAGCTAAACTTGTGCAGAAAAGTACCACAGAGTTTCATAGAGGTTTTTCCAGTATAACTTAGCATAAGGTTGCAGTCGTGCTAATTCTAATGAACTGGGCATTCTGCTATATAGTGCTGCTCTTTGTATGTACATACATATGAGTTTCTTGCACTTCAAGACATACCACCGCTCCTAGCAAATTATCAGCCTCAAAGACAGATGCTATGAACATCAGATAAAAAAAAAAAAAAAACAAGTTTTGCAGAGTTCAGGTTCAGTGCCTAATTCAATAGGGAGGGACCACATGCCAGAGGCAGTTGATTCATTGTCTGTTCCTGGTTTCATACCTGGGCAAGTTACTGGCAGGTACCCAATTGCCTCACCTATATTCTTGGATTCTGGGAAACATGTTGTACGTCAGCTTCTTTTGCTCAGGGAAACAAAAGCCGCATACGTAAAAGTGATAATGCCACTTTTACTTTCTTGGAATCTTTAAGATTTCAAGTTCTTTCTCTCCTAAGTATGAACTGTACACGTTTTGCAATATCAAAAAAGAACTAAAACAAGCTCTTGTTCATTTGCACCCGCCAGAGCTGTCCTGACCGTCCAGCAGGCGCACGCACTCACACTGGGTGGCAGAGCCGGAAGGGCAGCCCGCTGTGCCGTTTACCCACCCCAGTCCCACCCAGAAGGGCCAGCTGCTGGCACCTGCAGTGGGTGCCTGGGGGAGTCCCAGCAGCTCCTCTCCCAGCAGAGCATTTTCCACAGCAAGAAAGCAGCTAGTGGGTCTGTCTTGCTTTCTTTTGCTTTCAGTGAGATCCTGAGGAATCTGACTGATCCCCAAGAGACCTGGGAGGCTGCTGCCCACAGCTGCATGCCGCAGCAACAAAGACAACAGATTAGGGGAATACGCAGCCATGAGAGGGACAAATAGCCTGTTGGCAAGAAAAAAAAAAGTTTGCTTATTTATTTATATTTCCATTTATATACAGCCAAATATTTAAAGTTCCCAGGTGGCTTACAACTTCATATAAATACATTTTTAAATAACAATTTAAATTGTTTTAAACACTTAAACATTTTAAAACCAAATATAATCAGGAATACAATAGCATTAAATAAGTGAAAGATGGTCAGGATCACTTAAAATAAATATTAAAAAGGTATGTTTTTGCCTTGTGCCAAAATGGAAATAGTGATGGCACCGGGTGAATTTCCCTTGGGAGTTTATTCCGGAGGTGGGGAGCAGCCACTGAGAAGGTCCTTTCCCTATTTGGCATCCCCCCACACCTCTTTGAGGGGTGCCTTCTGTTCTGTGCCTCCTGTTCTGATTTAAGGGGTCAGGCAGGCTTCTGTGGGTGAAAATGATCCCTTAGGTAACCAGACCCTAAGCTGTTTAGGACTTTATATGTTAAAACATGCACCTTGAATCGGATCCAAGTGACAAGTGGCAAACAGTGCAACTGTTTGAGCACTGGAGTATTACGAGTCCTAGGTGGGGTACCAGCTACCAACCTGGCTACCCAATTTTGTACCAGTTGCAATTGCTGGACTGTCTTCAAGGGCAGCCCCATGTAGAGCTCATTATAGTAATCAGTTTTTATGTTACCAGCACATGGGTAACTGTT